ATCCCAGGAGCCAGGCGTTTCTTGCTTCTTAATTTAGCAACCAATGGAGTTACATCGGAGTAAACGAGGTCTTGATTGCAACAGGAAAACTCTATGACATCATTATGATCTCTGAGAACCACTCCACAGTTGCAAGTTGCCGAGCCTCCACATGACCACAGTCGAGTGTGTACCTAGCAGTTATAAGCCGTCATGGTTTTAAGATCACATTGTTCACAAGCACAGAGTTTTTGTTAACATCTTTGTTATTTTTTCTTAAACCACTGACATAAAGTAATATCCCACAATTTGACTGGCTGACGCACTCTATTGCGGTGCTATCAGCTCAAAGAAAGCGAGTAAAGAAAAGTCGATTGAGTGGATTTTCCTGGGTGTAAATATGTTTCTATCAAGTAATAGAGAAGAGAGAAAACATCAACTAGATTTATGAAAATTTCAAAGGCAGTTTTAAATGGAATCATAGACAGTAATGTAAATAAAAGGTGACATAGAATATCTAGTGAGCCTTAATCGCACCCTCTTTATAATTTATATCTTAGTCAACCGCTCATTTTTTTCCTGCGTCGTGAATCTTGATGTGATTAATTACATACGTTCTGTGATGTGAATTCGCCTTGTATATAAGACAGGTAAGAAAGAACCACAGTAACTGCATAGCGAATGAGCTCTAATTCACTTCCAGAGACTGCATCGAAGGTTACTTAAAGTACCAGTCAACTGATGCACATGCGTATTAGATACCATTTGTTAGCTGATCCACCTATCACAAGATACCCGATTCAGACTATTTTTAACCAAATATGATAAAATAATATTAATAGCATGAGTATAAGAATACTCAGGAACAGGTTTTTAGTAAAAGGGCGCTGTCGAGGGACCGTTTTAATATCTTTCTTCTTCAAGTAAGTGTGATAGAGAATCACAATGTTTTGGTATCCTGGCAAGTACTTTACGTTGAACCGGTTAAGGTTGTAGGCTCAGGATCCATCGCTCGATTCGTGCGCACGGCTTTGATCTGTTTGGGTATATTGTCTCCAATGCACGGCTTGTGATCAGGTAAAGTTCGAATTCAATGTCCTACAGGTAAACACGGAAACTCTCGCACGTTCAAACGACTGCCAGTGCTTCCTTCTCGGTCTGAGCAGGGGCGGATCTAGGGGGAGGGTTCAGTGGCCCCCCGAGATGACCCGCGGCTTTCAAATACAACTGATATTCTGCAAATTGTCTGTGGTGTACAGGGTTTTGACGTAAAACATAAAATGAGGCTGATGAAGATATGTTAAACGCCTTAAAAATGGTAGTTTGGCACGTCACCTCACCAGTCAGTTACGCCATTCCTTGGTGGTGCACCCCTTCTAAGAAAAATCCTGGATCTGCCCCTGCTGAGTATACCGCGCCTTCACGTCACTCAAGCTCTTGTTTTTCCTTGCTGTTCCTGAACAAGTACTTTGTCAAGATCAAACTAAATGAGGTTGCGTCCGCTATTATCAGTGTCCTGGCATCTTAGTCAAAATATCCAAGTGTTCCCGCACTTGCTAAACTGCTCTTCAGCTCACTAAATGCTCGACTATGTTCCAAACTCAAAGTGGCCACCTTCATTCGTCCTATCTCCGCAAAGGTTCTGCTACTGTCGCAAAATCGGGAAAAACGTGCATTGTATTAGTTAGCTAGTCCCAGGAAGTTCCTAACTTCTAAGGCATTCTGAGGGTTAATACCAGTTTTCTTCTACTTTATGTTTCAGGCTGACTAAGGATCGCCTTTTGAGTTGGGAAAACAATGAGCATAGTATTCCTCCTTCCTCCCTAACAAAAAAACGGAATACGCTCTTAATGCCTGTTCAAGGACGGATTCCCATCGCTTACTTGTTCTCACACTTATTACCTCAAAGTTGCGCTCAGAGTTGCGATAAAGGATGAAGTCTCCCTGTTCCATAAAGGCAAAGCTACTTCTGCTTCCCCATCTTCCACTAAACAATAAATTCGTAGAAATAAAACGTTAACCCTATTTTTTTTAAAAAAAAACGATGCTCGTAGTGACATGACTATCTGATTGTAGATGAATTGCTGGGAATTGCAAGTATCCACCAGCATCCGCTTTTGTAACGTACGAACCCAAAAAACAATCACAAAGACGAAAGGAAGACCATGCTTCACTGCATTCGTGAACAAAAATCTCAAGCGCGACATAACAAAGCAGCTAGGATAATCGCAACGAAATGATGATAGTCTTTACCTTGCGTTATCAAAAAGTGGCAAAGTGCTGTAGTGAGGATCGGTATACGTTTCACATGTATGGATGTTCTCTGAGTTGGTTTCAACGGAAACCTGCAAGAAGAAACTTGAGTGGATCAACAAGCTATCTACATTGCAAAAAAATTAAAGTAAAATAGGGGCTGCGACCGCACTCGGCAAGCTAACCGGTTTAGTTTTTCAAAACCCGATAAAAAATTCTTCAGAAGGTAACCGGGTTAAAGAGTTTAACCGTATTTATTTTTATCAGCGGTTGGACTCAATTTAGTCTTTCCCAAAGCCTTTTCAAAGTTTTGTTTTTTCGCTTGCTTGGGTCGCTCATAAGGCTCGCCTTAGAGTGACTGACAAAATTTGCCCCCGTTATACTGACAATAAAATTTTTGACTTCTTAAAAGACTTAACTTGGTTGTGTTAAGAAAGGAAAGCTGAGCTTGGAGCGAAAGAAGTTATTTTCGAAACTGCAGTGCTTGAGTGCATGGTAAAGCCAAAATTAAAACATTCTTTGTCTAATCCCTGTATGGCGTTTTCCCAGTCCCTCTCGGTCAATTCACTTCGGTGACGTATCCGAGGCGAACGGGCGGGAAACGCCTAGGCAAAAACAGAATGCGCGTGCGGGCGTTGCTTTTTGAAATTCAAGATGTTGTCCATGTTGTAAACAGCAGGAAATTATGGTTTTCAAAAAAACCCTTGTCGATATTTGCCGGATCGACTGTTGCCGACGGACTTTGAAAAGTCACCAGAATGTTATTCATAGTCCTGTGAAGATTGATTCGGCTTCTTCAATGTCATCATTTCAACTGAGCTATCGGAGTTTGCAGCTCTTAACCCATTTAAAAGACTGCGAATTTTCAAAGTAAAAATAATACTTGAGTGACCCTCTTTGTGGTAAACTTAGCGCGCAAATCTTGAATAATCAGAAAAAACATGCTTTCAGATAATAAAATGTTAAATACGCATATACGCATTAGCTGCGTATCGCAAAGTGCCCAGACTAAAAATTTGCCGACATTCACAGAAGTAATGTGTGCATTAATTTGGGAAGCATTAAATTCAACTTGTCTCAGGACTGTGACAGTTTGAGCTATTGTTATCAATGAAAGAACACGCAACAACAAACAGAGAGAAATTATTTTTCGAAAAATTTAAAAACCCATAAGTTAATCCTTAAAAGCATTTCGCGTACAGCAAACTTGGCTCGTGGATCCGTTCACGCAAGTAAAATCCGTTGAGCACATGGCAAAAATTATTCAACACAAATCTCAAATCAGGGCACTCAAGCTCAAGCACAAGATGAAGTATTTAGAAATACATAAATTTCCATTTAAAAACACAATTTTCTTGACTATAGAGTACAAAATGTGCCTGAAAATTCTTCAAAAACTTCGCTGCTTGGTTGGGTTTCAAAACAGGCAAAGCGCTCCGATCGGCCGTGGTAAAAATTTGGTGAATTTCGAATTCCTCAAAGGCAATTTGGTAAATAAAAGCCTTCCTTTGTCCACTAAGAGAAAACTGAGCATTCTTTTGAACTTTCTCTTTCCTCTGTGCCTTTTCGTGGTGTGTTTTTAGCGGAGCTCTCGCGCTCGCCAAGCGGGCACCATGGGTAAGAAAATTTGGTAACCTATGCATCCGATATTTGCATCCGAGAAATAATGATAGTCTTGTGATCGTACGCTTGCCCGACCGACCGACCTCCGCACCACAGGCATACCAGTGTGAAATAACTCAATCAACATACAGGTATGGCAACTTGAGGTTATTTTGGCGGGAAATCGCATAGACACCCGCCTCTTGTGAAGAAGAGACAACTAAAGAGTCAATAAAGACGCTGTCTGTCGCTCTTTTTCTCGTTGAGCTTCGCTGGCCTGTAGCCTACTTTCTCTTTTTTTTTCTGTCTCTCTATTTCTCTGTACTCCAAATTTGTGGACAGGACAATTAATCCTTGCTTAATACTTTAGACAACACGGATACAGAGACAATGACCGCTTTCCGTTTTCGTCTTTATTGCAAAAGTGTGCTGCACGTGCGAAGTTGCTTTTTTGCTCATTAGACCTATTGTTGTTTTTTCACCGTTCTCGTTTTCTTCGCCGCTTAAGCCTGGTTTTCACAAACGCATAAGCACAAGAAAAAATGACAAGTTCGTTCTTTTTGTGCTTGTGCTTGTGCTTATGCTTATGCCGTAGCTTTGATTAGACTTGCTACAAGTCGACCTCACGGCGGTTTTTTAGCGAGCGGAGCGAGCTTTTTGGGCCACGAAGCGGCCAAGAGAGCGACATCGGACGAAGGACTTTTTTGATAGTCTAAGCTTTGACTATAGTGAAAACCGGCTCGACATAAGCTCAAGCATAAGGCAACAAGGCACAAATTGCAAGGCCGTGGACCAATCATTGGTCACTTTCACCCAGAACTCGTGCGAACATATCAAAAGCAATATGGCCGACGCTTCGTCCGCCATCTTGTTTATCATCGGGTTGAGGAGATCTGGTATCGAGAATTGAGTCAAGTATACCATTCTGCGCGTGCGTATGTCCTTATGCTCATGCTTATGCGCTAGTGAAAACCAGGCTTTAGCATTACACGACTATATATTTTGTTTGAGTAAACAATAAATATTACCGAGAGCTTCACTTTTAGCCCTAGCCAAATCTATATATCAACCTTGAAATGCGAAAGACTGGTCTTGTAAACCACCGCCATTGAACCGTCTCACTTTTGAAGATTTTTGTCTAGGCCTCACATTTTCCCATGGACCACGTGACCGAAACGCTTTGCTCGCGCGGAATAATGAAGCCTAGGGACTAGGCAAGAACATTCTCACGCATAGGCCGAGATGATCGATTCCATTGACTGATAACCATAACCTGCGTTAAACTACTCCGCGAGGTAGTTAAATGAAAACATATAAAACCTGGTTAAGAAATTCAATTAGGTAGTTGGAAACTGAACTCGGCTAAATCCCCAAGTGCGGCCGCAGCCAATAATAGATTGGAAAATCAGTAGCCAAGTAGTTCCGGCGGAATGGGGGTTGCCTTTTAAACAAGAGATAACATGGAGCGGGTGGTTAGCGCAAAACATACATCATGTAATTCTCTTCAGACCGGGAATCACAATCAGACCGGCTGGACTAAAAGTAGTCTAATTAATGCCAAAAAATATGTGATTGTAAATGACCTTCCTACGACTGTCTTTAAGACGTTATCATAAATGTTACTTTTTTCCCGAAACTGGAACACATAACGTAAAAGCTCTCTTAAAGTAAGCGAGAAATTGACCTAAGGAGAGTGAGTTGCAAGAGTTGTGAATTTTTCCCTTTAATAACTGACTAATTTATCAGTAAAACACTCACCGCAACACTGGGTAAATGGGAGCTTCTATTCCAAAATGGACTGTGACCTCCCTCAATTGTAGGAACAATGCGTTTGTCAACAGTAGGGGACTGTTCTGTGGTTGTACATCTTGCAATGACACGCACGGTGATTGGTTGAAGGTCCTTCAGCTCAACCTCACAGTCATCACTGTCGATCTCAATACCATCAGACGACCAGAAACTAATCTTCAGGTATTTATCTCTCTGTAATTCACTCGCCGCAATTGGTATGGTGGGAGTTATTGTGAAAGTTGTTATATCTAGGGAACACTCTTTAATTTTCAGTCGATTGGGTGAAACCTGGAGATTTTAAAAAAATCACTCTTGATTTTTTGTTGATATTGTTAAAGAACGTCTCTTTCCGCATAACTGCCTGTGTAATTTTTGCTTGCGGACCTCTCTTCATATTCGAACAATGGCAAAAAAAGAACACCTCTTAATTCAGACGGACGACATGCTTTTATCCGAGAGTTACAAAAATATCCAATACAATTTCTTGACAAATCAGTTTATACTTTTGTAATTAATTTAATTTTTGAAAACGATTTTTTCAAAATTTGTAGCTTTAAGTAATAATATGGTATGATGAAAGTTGTTGAGAAAGTTCAAATCTGTTTTACAAATTAGAGGACCAAAGGGAAAACAACACGCTTCCCGTAGCCGGTTGATCAATTATATGTTATCTTCTCTCCGTGATAAATGGTCGCTTTGAAGAGTAGCTAGTTTTTTTATTCCCACTTACCTTTAATCCAGCGAAAAATGGTTCCTGGACGGATTTTGGAACACACCAAGTGTTCAAAGGAGATGTGGTGTACCGGGCAGTTACATTACAAGAAATCTGTTAAGCAAAGATACAAAAGAAATGCATTACCGTAAAATTCCGAAAATAAGCCCCACGGGGCTTATATTTTTCAAAGGCCCTTGTTGAGGGGTTTATGTACGGAGGGAAATTTGCGTTTCAAAATCGATTGGGCTACCTTATAGCTGGAAGGAATTTACCATTTTTGCTTTGTTTAAATTTTTATTTGAGGGCAATTTCTAAGTACAGGCCCCCCAGGGGACTTATATTTGGAGGGGCAATGTAACGGAGGGTTTTCTATGTTACGAGTTTGTGGGGCTTATATTTGGAGGGGCTAATAGAAGGAGGGGCGCATTTTCGGAATTTTACGGTATCTTCTTTTTCGCTCCATACTTCGACATACTGACTGGTAGATTTGTATTTTAAAATCAACTGGTAACAGAACATAAAACGAGACTGTTCAGTATATTCTAAATCATAACTACTACAGTAAACACCCGCTAATAAGAACCTGTGGATTGAGAACTTCCTGGCAGAAATTTGCCACTTTGAAACCCAAAAACACAAGAACCTGCTTAGCCAAGCAATATCAAGCGAGGTCTTATGTGTTGATTACATTTAATGTGTTAATGTGTTTGTGTTCGTTATGGTCTTCTTTCGCGTTTACCATATATAGTAATTACATGCGCACGCATAGGTGCAAAACGTGTTTGTAGTGTACCGCCATGTTGTTTGGGTGCATTCTTAGATCTTTCGTCAGTACATAACAATTTTGGTGACGAGGATGGGATCTTCAGGGATATTTTACGCGAAAAAGTGAAAGACATTCCTAAACAAGATCCACACGACATCTCAAGATGCCAAACGAGTCTAATGCGGCACCAAATCCGGTTCGAGACATCGAAAAAGTTCAGAAGTTCGCAGTAGGAACTGACTTCGAGGCGTATGCAGAACAGCTTGAATTCTTTTTGGTGGTCAGTGGAGTGACCGAATCAAAAGAGAAGAAAGCCGTCCTGTTAACTAATCTTCCCAATGAAAAGTACCAGCTGGCGAAAGATTTAATGGTGCCGATATTGTTAAGAGAGGATTCTCTCACGTACGACACGAACGTAGAGGGTCTCCAAAAGCAATTGAAGCCTTAGAAATCTGCTCTAGTCGCTAGGTATGAGTTTGACAACCCAGCGCGTAACGCAGGAGGAACGGTGTGAGTCAGTATGTTGTTGTTTTAAAGCATCTAGCTACGAATTGTAAGTTTAATGATGCCATGCGATTGGAAAGGTACAGATAGATTGATGTCGAGTATTCGAGATAAGAGAATGATGTCAGAGCTTTTGAAACTGAAAATCGAGAAACTGGCATTTGACATTGCTGTAGCGAAATACATCGCTAGTGAGCAATCTTACAAGGATGTTGAAGCTCTACAGGGAGTAAAGAGTCAAACCCAGTCTATCTGTTATCCAAGTCAAGACCAAGCAAGAAGCCTAAACCTTCAGAAAGCCTTCATAAAAGGGTTCCCCATCCCATAAAGAGTCGGGCAATCAAAGTTCCTACCGCTGTTTGGGAAATCATGATCATAAACGTTGTCCGTTCAAAAAGGAAACATGTCACCACTGTAACAAGACCGGTCATTTTGTAAGGCTTGTAAATCCAAGAATAGGGAGAGACAAGCTGCCCGACCCCCAGTAAATTATGTGGACAGTGATGACTACCCTTGAGGTTAATAACGTGAGTGACAAAGATCATACGATGTGCGTCAGCTCTACACTGGGCAAATAATCACACCTAAGGAAGAGTTGAAGTGTAATGTTAAGTTTAAGGGCCAAGAAAAGGAATTAACCCTACAAGTGGTTGAGACACCAGGGCCAGCATTGTTTGGGCGTGACTGGCCTTCCAAAATTCAGCTGGACTGGGGTGAAATCAAAGCCCTTAAGCTTAGCCAGATACTGGACAGGGTCATGCAACATAAAGAGGATCAGTTGTTGCAGTAGTACGAGTCTGTATTTTCTGAAGGTGTAGCTACACTTCAAGGCCACAAGGCTGATTTAAAGGTTGAGGAGGGCTGCCAGCCTAGCTTTCATTAGCCACTTCAAGTTCCATATGCACTTCGCCCTAAGGAAGAAGCAGAATTGACACGTTTAGAGAAGGACGGTATTCTGTCTAAAGTAGAATACAGTAATTGGCTACCCCGATTGTTCCAGTAGTTGAGCAAAATGGATCATTACGTGTGTGTGACGATTTCAAGGTCTCATTCAATCCAGTACTTCTTGCAGAACAATATCTTCTGCCGCGCATAGAGGATATTTTTGCGAATTTGGCTGGGGAAAACATTTTAGAAAACTTTAACTGCGCCAAGCTTATCACCAAATAGAAGTAACAGAGGAATCCAAGAAATTCCTCTCGATCAATACACACATGGGCCTTTTCCAATACAATCGGTTACTTTTTGGCGTTTCTTCGAGTCCAGCGATTTGGCACATGTAATAGACCAGGTATTACATGATCATCTAGGGCAAAGGAGGTATTGTCCATTGTGTGGGGGTGAAACGGTTCCGTGCGTGCCTCTATATGAGGCGGTTTACGCTCATTACAGACCGTACGCCCTCAATGCCATTTTCCACCCAGATAAGGGAGTTCCTGTCATGACCGCTGCCAGACTCCAGCGCTATGCATTGTTCCTCGCTAGTTTCGATTACAAGATAGTGTATAAGAGTGCGACCGAGCACTGCAAAGCTGGTGGGCTGTCTCGACTCCCCCTCCAGCAAAAAGAGCGAAAGGAGACGGAAGTGGATTCGTCAGAGGTGTTCCACGCAACCCAGTTTGTGCCACTCCCTGTAACTAGTAAAGCAGTTGCTAGAGAAACACGTCGTGACCCAGTCCTAACAAGGGTGTACGAGCTCATCGTGAAAGGATGGTCTGCTCGCTTAGATGGAGACAAGTCTTACTATAAGCGGCGCAATGAACTGACGGTTCACCAAGGTTGCATTCTATGGGCAATAACAGAGGTAATCCCTAATAAGCTCCAAGAAGGAGTGTTTGAAGGAGCTGAACGACGGGCATCTGGGTGTGGTAAAGATGAAGGCACTAGCGAGGAGTTACGTCTGGTGGCCTAATATTAGTGCTCAACTAGAAGGGCTAGTGAAAGCCTGCAGTGGGTGTCAGCAAAACCAGAAGATACCTACTACAACACCACTGCATCCGTGGGAGTGGGAACTGCACCACGGCAACGCATACACATCGACTATGCAAGCCCATTCCAGAACTCGATGTTCTTAGTAGTTGCCGATGCACACAGCAAATGGCCGGAAGTGATTTAGGTTAGTTCCACCACTTTAAGTTCGACCATCAAAGGCCTAGGCGATTTATTCACCAGATTCGGAATTCCTGAACAGATCGTTAGTGACAACCGTGCAAAATTTGTTTCTGAGGAGTTCCAGGCGTTCGTCAGGCTCAATGGCATTCGCCATATAACATCAGTACCATACCATCCGTCATCCGGATGCAAACGGTCTTGCGGAGAGGGCAGTACAAACCTTCAAGCAAGCGTTAGGCCCCATGTGTCAAAGCTCAAAGCCGGTGAAGGAGAAGTTGGCAAAGTTTCACGTAGCTTATAGGAACACTCCTCACTCCACTATCGGTTTGAGCCCACCACAGTTACTCCTTGGAAGAGCTGCGCACTCGCCTCGATTTGGTGAGACCCAACTTGAACCGTAAGATGGTCAACCAACAGCATCAGCAGAGCATCAGGGCCGCGAATGAGAAGAGTAGACACCGTCGTCAGTTAGAGGTTGGTTGGCTGTACTGTACTGTATATAAATTGGAATATCAGTTTTGTTAGAATTGTGGATAATATGCATTATTTTTCTGGTAATCAAGAATCTTTTATCTCCTTCATAAAAATTAAGAACCTTATTAAGAACCTACTTAGCTTAAATTGCCAATAAGCAGCCCAAAATATAAGAACCTATTTTGCCAAAGGTAGTTTTTTTTACCTACCAAGCTGTTCAAACTGTAATCCATACCCTTCAGGAAAGATACTAAGGGTTTCCCTGGACAAGGGCTGTCATATTCCTTCATATCTGGCGGTAATGTCCCACAAAAGTCTTCTGTTTTCAAGTGGTCGTCCTCCGAATACCAAACGATCTGGTATGTTACATTCTTCCACAACCGGATATTGCGATTGATGGGAACTTCACACTTCAGGGTTACAGCCGCAGTTTCTGGATCAAGTGTTACATACGTAACCGTTGGTTTTCCAAGAAAATCTTTATCAAAAGGGGTTGGTGGATCTAGAGAGGTAAATAAAATGAAAAATTATTTTTCATTAATGTGAAGTTGCTCAATGTTTGCAATTCAGTAGAACATTTAGAGAGTTTGAGAAATCGCAAAGAAGTTGAAAGCATTCAAATTTCTCTTTGAAATAATCAGACTTAGTAACTTTAACTTCCTAAATATTCACTTACGGATCCAAAACATAAGGATCGGTTACCTGAATAGCCCATAGCTCAGTAAGAAAATCATTCAGTCTGCTCAATGCGTTGAATTGATTTTCCTGTCCAGTGCGGTTGACAAGGAAACTCTCATAAGGATAGGAGTTAGTATTCTGCCATTTTATAAATTTAAATTACTTTAATGGAACGTAAATGAAGTAAAAAGTCAGAACGATCAAAGGGTATGTACTAGAAACAAGGCTAACAAGACCTCTTTTCTTTCTGTTATGGGAGAGAAAGAGCATCTTGATAACGACGTTCCAGATAACCTTGCTAGACTTTGTTACAAACATTTGATAACAGCTTGTTTTTCAGTCATAAACATAGCAAAGACCAAGTCACGAAAAAAGAGAATATTTACTAGATGAACATACCATGACAATTGCCTGTTTTTCCAATTTTGCCATATAAACAGTTTGCTTTTGAAAAGAAACAAAACAAGGTGTTATGATACAGTTAATCTTCTCTGCAGTGCTATGTTTCAGTTATTTATACTAAATAGAGTTAGCCAAGGCTAAAAGCGTAGCTCCAGTTAATAAATTTAAAACTTAAATAAAAAAATAAACTTGTAATCCACAAATCGGCTAACTGGGAAGATCCATACGACTTTTAAGGGTGGGGCTGGGCGACTTTAGAGAAAAGATAATTTGCAAACAGTGCAAGAATGAAACAACATCTAAAATCTTACATTGAGTTAATAGTCTTATTCGTACATCTAAAAAATAGAAGTCACCCTTGGCCACAGTAGATAAGGCGTGAAAAACAAATTCTTCCCAAGCAAAATGACCTTTTTGCTCAGCTTCACCACCTTTATCTTATAAGAGTAATTGGACAGTCCCGAAATATAATTTTATGCTATAAAGACCGTAAAGGCGCGATAGTCCCCGGTAGCAGCCAATTTACACTTTATAGTTTATCGGTTCTATCTCTCTGTCTACAGGAAAGGCGAAAATGTGTAGCTCTCTACAAGTATGGTAGCCCGTAAACCAGCCTTTTTACATAATCTCTAAGGTAAACAGAACCATCATACGTCGTTTGTTTATTGTTCAGACTTCGGACAGAATTTGTTATTTTTTGCCCTATTTTAGCTATGATTCTGCAATTTTTCACAAGACAAATTTCACTCATTCAATATTCGGGACGATCGAAGCACGCGCTTCCATTCCACAACAAATAATAAAAATAACAAAAACACAAAACGCTTTTGTTAATAAAGAGAACTGAATCCACCATTAGACGGGACTATTCAGTCAGGTCAATCTTCCATTATGTAGTATGCAGGGTAATAATGGGCTTTGAACAAAAACTTTCGAAAAAATCATATTTTAATTCAATTTCCAAAATCACCCGTCCGACCAGCCACTTCTGAATTTTGCCAAGTGCCTAACTTGCAATGCGAGCTATTGGGTATTTGAATGAACACTAGCAATGAGGAAGAGGTCTTAGAATCATTTTCGTTTGCATTTTACTTCTAAAACACCAGATTTATTTGATACACGCGGCATTTTAATAAGTACTCCTGCATGCGATGTTCACGGACGACTGGAAAAAACAACTGCGGCAAAGCGATAAGAAAGAGATCTTGACAAACAATCAAGACAAGAAATATAATTCAATGAAAAATTTAAAAGGAAAACAATTTTTATTCACGAAGACGTGTATTGAGAGTGAAGTGCCTCCTGAAAATCCTGAGTCACGAATAAAATATAAGCCTTTTAAGGGTTAAAACTTAAAAGTTTTAAGTCGCCTTCGCGCGGTGTTGGCTATTTTTCAAGATGAACCGCCAGGCAGGAATAACGCTCAATCTCAAAGCTTTTTTACAACCAATAGGTAAACTAAACTATTCTTCAGAACGTTTTCTTTCTAGTTGCAGTCAGATAAATTGTCTCGAATCTTACTAATGTGCGTAAAATGACCGCATAAATATGAGACCAGAAAATAAAACATCAAATGCAATATAAGCTTAATTACTCAAGCTTACCGGTCGAGATGCAGCTCGGAAACCCCATTAAGTTAGGCCAGAATCGCTTAAGGCTTTTCGCATCCAGCAAGGCGAAGTAAGCTTAGGGACTTCTCAGAAATTAGCAGGGGGGAGGGGGGGTGGAAACAGAGGGAGGGTCGCAACTTTTTAAGACTCAGAAAAGGGAGGGGTCATGAAAAATGGGCCGTTGAAAGGGGGAGGGTCATGCAAATAAATGCCCATGATCATGTAGAGGTTCACCCACAGAAGAAAAAGGAAGTTCTTTATTTGGTAAAAAAAAAAACCTGCGAGAAATAGGAGAGTCAATTGATCAGCTGTCAGAATCAGAGTGGGACTCTTAATGCTGTCATCTAAAATGTATGTATATAGCATTACAAAGAACAGATTAGAAATATATTTTGAGTTTTCATAATACTGACTCACCCTAGTGTATTGTAAGAACTAGATTTTATCATTTATACAAGAGAGGGAGGGTCATGATATTTTCGGCCAAGCTCAAGGGGAGGGTCAGCAAATTTCACTCCCATTGCAGGGATGGGTCACCTCATTTCCGAACCCAAATTTCAAATAACCAACCCCCCCCCCCCCCC